TAAAGGGAAGGGTAAACACCTTTAAAATCCCTCCTGGCCTGAGGAAGAATCCTTTCACCTGTAAAGGGTTAAGAAGCTAGGATAACCTCGCTGGCACCTGACCAAAATGACCAATGAGGAGACAAGATACTTTCAAAAGCTGGGAGGAGGAAGAAACAAAGCCTCTCTGACTGTCTGGGTGATGCTTTTGCCGGGGACAGAACAGGAATGGAGTCTTAGAACTTAGTACGTAATCTAGCTAGATATGCGTTAGATTATGATTTCTTAAAAATGGCTGAGGAAATAAGCTGTGCTGAATGGAACGGATATTCCTGTCTGTGTGTCTTTTTGTAACTTAAGGTTTTGCCTAGAGGGATTCTCTGTGTTTTGAATCTAATTACCCTGTAAGGTATTTACCATCCTGAGTTTACAGAGGTGATTCTTTTTTACTTTTTCTTCTATTAAAATTCTTCTTTTAAGAAACTGAATGCTTTTTCCTTGTTCTTAAGATCCAAGGGTTTGGGTCTGTGGTCACCTATGCAAATTGGTGAGGATTTTTATCAAACCTTCCCCAGAAAAAAGGGGGTAAGATTTGGGAGGATTTTGGGGGGGAAAGACGTTTCCAAATGGCTCTTTCCTAATAAAAAACCCGGTTAGACGTTTGGTGGTGGCAGCGAAAGTCCAAGGGCAAAAGGTAAAAGTTTGTACCTTGGGGAAGTTTTAACCTAAGCTGGTAAAAGTAAGCTTAGGAGGTTTTCATGCAGATCCCCACATCTGTACCCTAGAGTTCAGAGTGGGGGAGGAACCTTGACACCAAGCAACCCAAGTGACCAATCAAAAGTAACCATCCAAGCTGAATTCCAAATACTCACATAAAATTGTTTGCAAATAAGCCACAGACCAAGAACAAATGAGTTTGAGAAAAGTTTAAGAAGGTCACCCACAGCAAGAAAGTCCAAAAATTCCTGGATAAGCTATTTACTATGAATTATTGCCTCAGTTCTTATGTTTTGATCTGAGCTTCCAGCTTTGGGCCATCTAGTAAATTTCATACAACTCTAATCAGAACCTACAGTTCTACCAAGACCAGAACTGTAATTCGCTACACGCAGATGTAAATGAAGTGGAAAACAAGGACTGATGGCCACTGATGGGATTTATTTGATTATCTAGTTGTTCTTTGCAGCTGGATTTCCTCCTGACCCATTGTGCCAGACTATTTTTAAAATATATAATTATACTACACATCACTTTTTTTCTTTTGTAAGCCCACCTCTAGCTTGTGCTCATTTTCAGTTCTGTAAGAGCAGTCAAAGCATCTATTATAGAGTTCTCCACACAGCAGCCATTCAGTATAAGAGATTTACTATGCTTGCTTTAGCTGAGATGAAAAGTTATTTTCCCTTTTGTTCTTTCTGCATTACAGTGGGATTCTACAGTCTGTCTCCCCCAGAGCTAGGACAGTTATGTTTTAATCACTTCCAAATGCAAACAAAAGCCTGAGGTGCTTAATCCACTACGGATACAATTCTTATTGCAGCAGGGAAGAAGAGATTAAACATCCTTTTCTGTGGAGCCAAAAGGTATTAAACTATATGTCACTATTAGATTCCCTGGTTCATTTTCCCAGGGGCTTCCCTGCCCTGACTCTGCTTTTCACAACATTGATTTGTGAGCGTGTATGTGAGTGGAGTGGGAAAAATTAAGAAGAGGGATTAAAAATACTGTAGATGTATCAGCTTTTTAGAGAGGGGAAAGAAATCCTGAAAAGGTTTAGGATCAAAATTAAAGCTATAAAAGTCACTATTCAGTTTTTCCCTCTTTATTTAATGGTGATCTTAGATTGTAAGCCCTGTGGAGCACAGACTGTCTTGTTCTGGGTTTGTACAGAATCTAGCAAAATGGGGTCCTGGTCCCAGTTAGGGTTCTTAGGTGCTACCACAACTCAAATAATAAACAACAATAGTAATAGACAGCTTAATGACCCATTAAAAGAATACAAAGCAAAGAGAAGATCAACCCATCACACTTTCATTAAGTCATTCAGGTACAATCACAGCATAATTCAATCCCCTCTCTGCCTCACAGTCTCACACCAAGTTCGTCCTCAGATTCCTTTCCAACTATGCCTTTCCAACTCCTGCTTTAAATTAAGCTTGTGAATGGTTAACGAATATTTACATTTATATATGGCTCTCCTCTCTGGAGTAGCCCCACAAGAATAAACACAAGGCTCTTTTTGGATGGTCCAGAGGAAACGGCCCCTAGTGGTTTCCAGGACATAGGGATCAGTTCTCCATTGCCCAAAGTGGGAGTAAAATCTTACCAGTCTGATTTGTAAGCAACTGTGCTGAGTAATGGTGAACCAGGCCCCGATCCTGCAATGTAACCCATGCATAGAGACCTTTGTGCCTATGAGGAGCACATTACAGTATCAGGGCTCAAGTCTTCATCCTTGCTCTAGTCAGATTTTGAGGGGAGGAGAATCTTGCTAATTTGTATTAATGACTCAAAAGATTCATACCTGACCACACCATAAGGGCTTCAAGTCTCACTAAATTCAATAGCAAAGCTCCTACTGATTTCAACAGGATCAGGAACAGACCTTGTAGCAAACTAACAAGATTTTAAATCAAGTGTACTGCATTCCAGAGTGTGCTTGGTTCACTTATTCTGACCACACTCGTTCAGTTTTGATTATTCATAGGACAGCCATGAACACCCTGTAGTACAGTTTGGAATAGCGGCACAAGACCAGTAGGGTTTTTGCAAGCACTGTTGCGTCTGAGGATTAACACAGTGAGAATGAGTGAAATTCTACAACATATTCAATGGGAATAATATCACGTGTACTTGCACACAGCTCCTCTCTAAAGATGGATTTGCAACTGGACAGGAAGCTGCAGTTATGTTTCTAAAGCGATGTCTTGCCACTGCAGTGCTGATAATACAATGATGGGTGTGTTGTAAGTACATACATAGGCTGCTGTGGTATTTCTTTGAAGCATGCATTCACTCCAGTGATGTAAAGATACCCTGACAAGAATGCATCAAAGCACACGTCCTTGCCTCCTTCATGGGATTACATAATCCAGATTTTTCTGACACATCTAAGTATTATTGCACTGTGGTTTCTATCCAAAGCAATATAAACCAAAAGCCTCGCACGCAGAGAGGCAAGTACAGGAAATGTAGTAAGAAAGTAGTAGGAGCATGAAAGCTTCTGGGAAGAAAGGATGCATTAGGGCAGGGGTTCTCAACCTTTCTCTTTCGGAGCCCCCCCCAACATGCTATAAAAACTTCACAGTCCACCTGTGCCACAATAACTGGTTTTCTGCATATAAAAGCCAGGGCCGGCATTAGGGGGTAGCAAGCTGGGCAATTGCCTGGGGCCCCATGTCACTGGGGCCCCGGCGAAGTTACATTGCTCAGGCTTCGGCTTCAGCCCCGGGTGGTGGGACTCAGAGCCCCAGGCTTCAGTCCCATGCGATGGGGCTTCAGCTTTCTGCCCTGGGCCCCAGCAAGTCTAACACTGGTCCTGCTTCGTGGCCCCCCTGAAACCTGCTCACGGCCCCCCCACCCCCAGATCCCTGGTTGAGAACCACTGCATTAGGGTACAAACCTGCCAACACTTCTCTCTCTGCTCCAACCTTCACTCCGTTAACCTCAACGCCCTAACCCTTAAACTGGCCCTTCTAAATGCTACACACTCCGGGTTAGACTCCTCCACCTCACACAGAGCATGAGTAAATGAGCACTGTGTGCGGAACTCGGGCTGCAGTGGGATGGAGTCTACAACCGTTATAGGACAGGCTGTGGGGCAACACTACAGATCCTGAGCTAGCACAACAGCTGCTGCCCCTCCACACACCTAGTGCAGATGCTCCCAGCTACTGGATATATGACAATCACGGATCCAGTCCCTCCTCTAGCACACAGGTAGATCAGAAGCTTCTATTCTCCCTGTCTCATAACACAAAAGCAAAGGGACATTCAATGAAACTGAAAGGAGGAAAATTCAAGACCAGCAAAAGAAAATAATGTTCACACAACACGTAATTATTCTGTGGAACTCATTGCCACAGGGGGTCATTGAGGCCAAGAATTCAAAAAGAGACTAGATATTTATATGGATACCAAGACCATCCAGAGTGAGCATAATAAACAACAAAATATAGTGGAAGGGATGTTAAACTTCAAGCTTTAGATCTTAACCGTAAGCCAATCTCTAGTTTTAAGAGACCAGAATGAGACACCTAAGGTGGGGGGCAGATTATGCCACCTCTGCCTACTGTGGGGTTCTTACATCTTCTTCTGAAGCATCTGGCTCTAGTCATCATAGAGGACAGCATGCTGGACAAGATGGACCTCAGGTCTACTCATTATGGCAATGCCGATAGTCCTATACTCTCAACGCTCCTCTCCACTTGGACCTAGCCTGGACCCACTCCCCCAGTGCGCAAATATGAAGACCACCCTGCACAACCATTTCACCTTCCCCCTTCCTGGAACAGGAGCACTGCTGGGGCTCCACAACATAGAGCATGGGCCCTCCTCCACCATGGCAGAATTTCACACCCAGCGAAAAATCCTGTTCCTCCCCTACATTTCATCCATCTGCACTCCTTTCCTGTAACCCAAACTCACACCTTCCAAAACTGTTTTCCCTGCTATCACAGTGACAGGGAGCCCAGTCTCTCACATCATGAGGAATGGCATTGTGATCATTGCTAGATTCAAGCTGAATTCTGCCTCACTTCAGTATTTAAAGGGATGAAACTGTAGCCTTCATCTCCCCTCCCTTGGCATCCTCAGGCTCTCAGATGTCTGCCAACCTCTTCTCATATCTTCTTTGCTGTTGGCTTTACTTCCTAGCACTTGTACGTGACCTCAATATCCAGGACAGTTCATGAATTATTATCCCTTTACATAGATATATATCTCTGGTTTGCAAAGGATTACATATAGCGATCTAAAGATTTTTTCATGAAAGAAAAACAAGACAAGTATTTACTTCCTACCTTGATCAGTTCTTTGAACTTGGAGTCTTCTTTGGAGTTGGGATCAATCATGGTACGTTCCTCATTTTCCTCTGGCCATTGAGAAGGGAAATGTCTAGTTAGAGCCATGACATGAACACACTGTCGAGGATATTGCAGGAGCTATTATTTATAAAGTTGTCTGGAAGTTGATTAAGAAATGGCAAAGTCTAATCATCATACTAGTGAGGGAACATCAAGTGATCAAAGCATGGGGAATTCTTTAGAGATACACTGAAGGATTACACAGTATTAACTTCCCTAAAATAAGATTCAACTGGCCTTCATCAGATCACGCAGCATAGTGTGTGTCAGGCTGTATCAGCTAGTCTCCTATATAATGTAGGCTCCTTGGGGCAGGGCTATGTCTTTCTCCAGATGGACCAGAGTGCATTAGTGGCACCCAGCTAACAATGATGATCATTTTATCCTTTCCTCAGTTATTTCGTTTTCATTTTAAGCTACATCACTAGACTGCAGCATCCCAAAGAACCCAGTAAGCTCACTGCATTGTGCTCCCTGTAACAGGGGTGATGCTGGATTATGGGTCATCCTCCTTTCTCCTGCCTTTTCAAATTCCACTGTAGAATTTGCTAGCTAGCGAGGACTGAACTTAGTCTGCTGCAACTGCACATAATGCTGAGTCAATGTCCGGCAGCAATACCAAGAGTGAAACTGACAAAGATTTAGGTCAAATTCAGTTGTGCCTGGAGGAAAGTGCCCAGAGCAAGTTTAGCAGAGGTGCAATCTGCTCCATTGCTGTGGAGCTGAAGAGTGGAAAGGAGAGAAATATTTTCTCCTTCTACCACCAAGGAGCTGCCAGACCAACACAATTTGGGAAGGATGGGAGAAGGAGAAGGGAAAAGACACAAAAAGGAGATAGAAACGGAACAGGGACACAGAACAGGAAAGTGGAGTGGAATGAGTGGAAGAGAACAAGGAAGACATACACATGGGAAGTAGAGTGGGGTGGGACAGTTAGAAGGCATTGAGGAGGTGGCTGGCTGCATCAGAACTGGGGACCCAGCTTAGTTCCTCAGTGTTAGCAACAGCTAAGAGTACTGTAGCTAAAGCCATTGGCAAGGAAGCGTAGGGAGTGTCTTTCTACACAGTTTCTTGGGCCAACTGAAAGAACCATGCCAACAGGCTCTGGGGGAAGACCTATCTAGCTCTTCTGAGCTTGAGGAGGGTCTCCATAACACATGGGTGAAGGGAGGAGAGGCGAGACAGATAAAACAAGGAAGAGGAAAGAGAAGGGAGGGTGAAAGACAAAAAAATCCAAAGGAAGAGAGGAGACAAAGGAACAGAAGAGGGAGAGGGAGGAGTAAAGATTAATTTTAGAAAGATGATTGCATTTGAGGTTTTGTCCACTGAGCCAACACTTTGTTGAACTGGTAACAAATACATTCAAACAAAGGCTCCCCCTATGTCTTTCCCCACCATAACTGAATGCATCTGTAGGTGCACACAACATTCTATCCTAGACGTGAATATTAAGGAGCAATGTTGTTACAGCCTGTTAAATTCTGGTGCTCCATTTCAACTAGCAAATTCAGCCCTCCCCACCTTTCCTCATTGTAATCTCCTTTGTTGCTGAAATGACAGTTGTGATTTAGTTTAGAACAGCTCCTATAAGTGGAAATGAAAGCACAGCTGCTACACTGCAACAAGAATGCAGCATCACAGCCTTGTTACATGATCCACTGCTCTGCAGCTAAAACAGAACTGGAGGGTTTAACTTTAGCTGTGCACATAGACATACAGGATGAAATCCAGACCCGCTGGAAGTCAATGGCAAAATTTCCATTGACTTCCACGGGCCAGAAGCCCATAGCATACACCTGCCTAAGATTTATGAGGCAGAAGCCTTTGATACATGAAACACATGCCTCACATCTCACTGTACCGTTTAAGAAGCCAGGCCTGCTTCAGTAGGTCTACTCTACAGCTGCGAGTGAGCCTACCTGCCCAGGCAGACTGACTTATGCTAGCTCCGCTCAAGCTAACATGCTAAAAACAGCAGCGTGGACACTGGCCCAGGCAGCAGCTCCACCCGACGCCCCCGTGCTGCCACCTGACCTGGTCTACTCAGCCATTTTTAGCACTCTAGCTTGAGCAGAGCTAGCATGAATCCCTCTGCACAGGCTGGGAGGCTCTTTGCAGTGTGGACTTACCCTTTGTGTTGCCTTGATGTACACATGAATGGAAGATGGACAGAGATGCCAACACATTGTGGTACTATGTGGTCAACCACACAAACAATATTATGGTCACAAAAAGGAGTTTTGATGGCCACAGTGCCATGGACAGAGAGCCCTCTGACCTGCACCACTATTCAGGCACCAGAACACAATGACCCACTGTCCCAGTATTACAGTTACACTGCTGTTAGTGATGAAGCTCTGCACTCACACTGGGTGGATATGAGAGACTGTACAATTGAGTGGGGTTTCCCTATACCTGCCCAGACATTTGAGCTCAGTTCTTTGCAGGGTCCACAATCTATTAAAAAACAATCAAACTGAACGTTGAAAACGTTTGCCAAATTTTCCACAAACCTAGGAAGAGCTTCTGATTCTGTAAGGTTTCCAGTTTCTTTTGGTTCTTTACTTCCTCTTGGCTACTGGGATGAGTCAAGCAGGCTAACGCTGAGGAAGTTACACCCAGCACACACCCAGTCCATAAGGTTGCAAGCTGGAACTTTCAAAAGAGATCTCACCCATGTTTGTGCAACACCCACATTTCCTGTGTGGGGCCCTAATCTTTCTCAGTCTCTCCCTCCCACCTTTAATAGTTAACAGCAGAGGGAATTAGAGAAGCTCTTTTTGTTTCTTTTTATATAAAGGCCTTGTATCCCATCTCTGAAATGAGTCAATACCAGATGCAGCAGAAGGCAGCATTAGGTCCCCCGCCTTTATTCCATTATGGAATAACCTCTACAGAAGTTAGTTTTCTTCCCCATTCTGGTCAGTCAGTGCCTGGCTTATGCCCAGAAGAACGCAGGTTTGTCTCTCTGGTTTCCTTTGCCTATTTAATGTAACTGTGGGTTTTCCCATTATCCATATAAACAGTTACTCCTTTTTTCAACTGCTCAGAATTATTTACCTCAGTGACATCCTGTGCCAATGAGTTCCACAGGTTAAAATATATATTGATAGGAGGAAAACATTTCCTTTTATCATTTTAAACTTGTTGCTTTTTAATTTCAATGTGCGCCTTCTTGTTCTCATACTATCAGAAAAGATAAATAGAAGCTCTCAATTTACCTCCTCTATTGCATTAATTATTTTATATACCTCTAGCATAGCTCCTCTTATTTGTCTTCTACAAACTAAACATTTATCATCTTTTCAATCTCTCCCACCCTCTGTTCATTCTCCAGACCCATATTTAGTCCCCTTCTATTTTTTCTATATCATCATTTGTGAGATGGGATGACCAGAACCCAATATAGCATTCAAGGCTGGAATGTATTATCCATTTATTTAATACGTACTTTGAGAAAAAGAATGGTCTAGTGGCTAGGCCTAGAGACCTGGAGCTCCGACACCCATGTTCAATTCCCAGTTCTCACACTCCGTGTGAGTTTGGGCAAGTAACTGAGGCTATGTCTACACAATGGACCGCAAGGCTGTACTGCTGCAGCTGCACCACTATAAGGTCTTCCATGTAGCTGCTCTCTGCCAGCAGCAAAGAATTCTCCCACTGGCATAAAAAAATCACTCCCAACAAGCAGTGGAAGCTACATGGCACTGTCCACACTGTCAGTGAAACTTATGTTGGTCAGGGGTGTGTTTTTTTCACACCCCAACTGACAAAAGTTTTGCTGACCAAAGTGCTAGTAGAGACATACCCTTGTGTGCCTCAGTTCCCCATTAGTACAATGGGAATAACAGGAATTCCCTACCTCACAGGGGTGAGGTGAGGATAAATACATAGCCGTAGTCTCTCTGTGCCTCAGTTCCCCATTTGTACAATAGGATAATAGAACTTGCCTACTTCACAGGGGTGTTGTGAGGATAAATACATTGAAGATTGTGAGGTGCTCAGATATTATGGTGACGGGGCCAGGTAAGTATAACAAGATATATATTCAGAATTATATTCGGTCTAATTATTTATACTTCCTAGCATTTATTTGCTTTTTTGACCACTGCTACACTATAAGCCAGGGATCGGCAACCTTTGGCACACGGCCCGTCAGGGAAATCCCCTGGCAAGCCGGGACGGTTTGTTTACCTGCGGCCTCTGCAGATTTGGCCAATTGCAGCTCTCACTGGCCGCGGTTCACTGTTCCAAACCAATGGGGGCTGCAGGAAGTGGTGGCCAGCACATCCCTCAGCCAGCGCCACTTCCTGCAGCCCCCATTGGCCTGGAACACTGGGAGCTGCGTTCGGCCGAACTTGCAGACGCTACAGGTAAACAAACCGTGCAGGCCCACCAGCGGATTTCCCTGACGGGCCGCATGCCAAAGGTTGCCAATCCCTGCTATAAGCCAATGTTCCCATTGAGATGCCCACAATGACGCCAGGTTTTTTTTCTTGTTGTTAGTTAATTTAGAAGCCAGCACGATGTGTGAGGATTTCAAATTATTCTTTCTGGTGTGCAAAACTTTGCACTGGTTAACACTGAATTTCATCTGCCATCATGCTGCCCAGTCATCTAGCTTAATTGGGTCCCTCTGGATTTCCTCAGAGACTACTCTAATCGTAACTACCTTAAATACGCTATCTGCTCGTTTTTCCATCTCACTGCTCACCTCCTTTTTCAGATCATTAATGGAATACACTAAAAACATCAGACCTTGGCAAGAACCTTGGCACACCCCACCATGAAAACTTTTGGTATGTTGAAAATTGACCATTTGTTCCTACTCTATTTTCTGTCTCTTGACCAGAAACCACTGTATTCTGAACCACAACAGTACTTTTCATCTCATCCCAAGACTACTTAGGTCAGGTCTACACTACCGCGTAAATCCACCTCTTACCTCGCTCAGGGGCGTGAAAAAGACACCCCCCTGAGCGATACAAGACCTAAGCGCTGTCCACAGCAGCGCCACATTGGTGGGAGACGCTCTCCTGCAGACATAACGTCCGCCTCGCACAGAGGTGGAAAAATTATGCCGACAGGAGAGCACTCTGCCATCGGCATACAGCGTCTTCACCAGATGTGCTGGTGCACAGCAGCACTGGTGCAGCTGCGCCGATGTAGTGCTTCTAGTGTAGACCTGCTCTTGGTTTCCTTAATATGTGGCATTTTGCCAAAAACTTCTTGAAAGTTCAAATAAAATTATATTTATGGGCTCCTGTTTTATCCACTGTTTCACTGACATTCTCAAGTTCTAGTAGATTGGCATCCTTTACAGATGCTATGCTTGTCTGTCTTATCATATGTTCATCTAGGTGTTTTATAATTCTATTTTTAATTACTGTTGCTTACAGTTTCTCTGGTACTGGAGTAAGGCTCAATGGTCTGTAATTCCTAGGATCACCACTAGCACCTTTGTTAAAGTTCGGTACAGTATGTGTTACTACACCAGGAACCTGGAGGGTGTAAGTGATATTAATGAGAGTTTCAATATTTATATGAGCACTTCAGCCAATTCATTCTTTCAGAAGTCTTGGAACACGACCCTGGTGGCTTGCTGCTCTTTAATTTAGCTGTTTGTTCCAAGGCCTCCTCTTTTGATATGTCAATCTCTGACAGTGTCTCATCCTCATTACCTGAAAAGACTTTAGTTCCAGGTTAGGTATTTCCTCAATATCCTCTGTGATATGGAATGATGCAAAGAAATCAGTTAGTTTCTCCGCAATGCCCTTGTCTTCCTGATAGTCCAATTCTCTTGCTAGCTTCCTGGCTCTAACATACTTGAGTAGTGGACTCACTGCTGTTCAAATTTTCTCTCAGCCCTTCTAATTTTTATTTTACATTTTACATACCATAGCTCATGCTCATTTCTATTGGCTTCAATTAACTTCAATGTTCAATACCTACGCACATACTGATCTCCATTAACACACACCCACTTATGCCTGTAGCATTAATACTGTACCTAATAGGGTATCTTCAGGGTGGATATCAATGGTGGTGGGAGACATTGGAGCGTTGATAGCATTTTTGCCCTCTTCCTGCAGGTCGCTCACTGAAGAGAAGAAAGGAAAAAGAAAAAAGAAAAAACTTTTGTAAACGCAGAATTTTGTACATTTTACACAATTTTTAGCTACAGTGGGAGAATACATCCGGCAGGCCCATTTCAAAACAAGTTTACAGCTTATGGAAATAAGAACCACAGCCGCTGTGGAATAGAATCAGAGAGTCAAAACATTTTGCCGTTTCATAAACAGCTGGTTAGCCTGGTGATTTAGCGGAAGTTATTTTGCAGGATCTCGAGCTTGCAGTAAAGACTAACTCAGAATTTCCATTTCCCACACTGGGAAGTGTTTAGAGCTCTGTGGACTCTCTCTCAGTCTGGAGTAAAGATTGTTCCTTTTGTGCACCTCATGGGGCTGCACATGAGACAGAAAGGGGAACTAAACACTAGTTCTTCTATGACGATAAGAATAATCTTTTCCACCTACGGTGACCAGATGTCCCAAATTTATAGGGACAATCCCGATTTTGGGGTCTTTTTCTTATATAGGCTCCTATTACCCCCTACCCGGTCCTGATTTTTCACACTTGATATCTGGTCACCCTATTTCCACCTGCAAGGATCACTATGTGCAACTATAATTAACAAAAAGCCTGAAAGAGCCCAAGGAAGACTTGAGAAACAGCAAAAGGGGTTTTAGTCCAACACTGGCACTGACATTATAAAGAGGCATAGTATGGGCTAGGGGATCAAGCATAAGACTGGAATCTTTGAACTCAAGCTGTAAACCCAAAGCTGCCACTGACCTCTCCGTAGGATCTTGGGGAAGTCGCTCAACTAGTCTGAGTCTCCATTCAGCCATTTCTAAAATGGATCTTTAGAGCAAGTTTCCAGGACTGTCACTCTGTATGCCCCTCTGAAGCCTAGAATGTCTGTTGAATCGGGGGAAGCGATGGAAACAGCAGCAAGCATGGCTGAAAGTTATTTTTGCCCAGAATACCACTGGGTTCACTTATGCCGGCATTCACGGTCTGTTACCATCCAGTTGTTAAGTTCTCAGCCATTTTGATTTTATGAATTACACCCATGTGACAGTAAGGCATGTATCTATGATACTCCAAGAGTCCTATTCCACTGCAATATCCGCAGTAACTCAACGAATCACCACCCTTTCTTTACAGCTAATTTTCGTTCAACAACAATTTCATTGGTTGTATGAGGGAGACTGAAGAGATGGTGGATTACTTGGCGCGGCTGTCACAGTTCCTCAAAACCACCCACACAACACCACAACCAGCACATATAATAACCCAAACATACATAACCCCTCATGGCAACACCATCCCCGCCCCCATCCCATTCACAACTCACACAAATCAACACATCTCCCCACACAATCCTCCTACAAACAAATCAACACAACTGACCCACGAAATAATCCCAACTGTCTCTCTGAAGCCTAGAATGTCTGTTGAGTCAGTATGAACGGATGGAAATGGCTACAGGCATGGCTGAGAGCCCTTTTTGTTTAGCATATCACCAGGTTCAATCAGCACTGGGATGTTCAGCCATTTACAGCTTCTTTTAGTTTTTTTAAAAACACACAACTTTACAAATTACACTGCTGCAGCAGTATGGCCTTTCAGCTACTAATATTAACATACCTAACTCTCACCAGTGTTGGATGGAATAACAGTGCTTGTGCACAGTTAGAAAAAAAGCAAAAGAATTGTATGTGCTATTAGTATCATCACACGTTATTAACGGATATTCACTTTAAAGCTCCTATGGATAACAAAATCAACCACTTATTTTAAGTTAAAGGAACAGATGGGTTTGAAATAAGACAAAAGCACTGTACAAGGAAACTATGTAGGCTACTGTAATACACAGCAGCTCAGTGTGGTGCTCTGCTGATCTCTACTAGTGGCTGGTATAGAGATTGATGAGCCTGCTACCAGCCTTGGCTAACAGCTGGTTTACTTTAGCTCAAGAAGAGAAGGTTCATGCTACTAGATCCAGAGGCACCATGTTCAATCTCTGCTGACAACAACCCATTGCAGGGCCTGGTGCTACACCGTGGTTAGGGATGGATAAAGTCCAGGAAAAAATAAAAACACACGATCAATCTTCACCCCCCCAGGTTGAAGCTTGGATAACTTTTGCTGCTGCTGACATGTTCAGTTTCACATCCTTCTGCACTGCATGGTCACGGTGAGGAGTGAAGGTGGAAATGCCAAAATATCATGAAAAAGCAGCTCTTGCAGTATTTCGGACCCATCTGAAGGCGGCAGTAGAATTAAGGTAGAATCCTTAGGATCTGGTCTCCCTAGGCTATCACGCTTTGAAGGAAGATCAGGAACCCAGGAGTGGAAAAAAGAATATCATCAAGAACAGTGAGAGTTAGCAAAGGACTATTGGATAGGGGAGAGACAGGACTACTAAGGGGGAAAATCTCAAAATTATGGTGGATCCTGGTCCTATTTATCCTTAATCTGCTTTTACCATGAAATGCTAGAAATCTCCTGTTCTCATGAGATTAACAGACCAAGAAAAAGTTAGAATACATTAGGGTGGTAGATAAGCTGCCACATTTATGGATGTTTCTCCCAACCTTTTTAGGTTTGCCTATTGTAACCCACACACCTCCTGGGTGTGGTGTTCTGTCCCATCGAGTGGCACTGAGACCACTGAGAGAGAGATTAATGAGTCTGCTCTACAGCCTTAACTAACAGCCATATGGCTTTCGTTTCATGCCTATAGCTCCAGAGGTCCCAGGTTCAATGCCACCTGCCAACAACTGGGGGTCTGTCGACGTTACAAGTGGAGGCTTGTCCGGGATTTCAACTGGGAAGTCTCTGAAGCTCGGGATGCACTTCCTCAGCTAGGGGAAGCATGTAACGCATACACCTTCTGGATGTGGTGTTCTGTCCCATTGAGTGGCAACGAAACCACTGAGAGAGAGATTAATGAGTCTGCTCTATAGCCTTAGCTAAGGGCCATATGGCTTTTAGCTCATGCAGTAGAGGCTCATGCATTAAGCTCCAGAAATCCCAGGTTTGATTCCACCTGCTGACGACTGCGGTTTGCCAGAATTACACTATCACCAGCTTCACATAGCATTGGCCACCGAGGGAGAGTGTGGTGGACAGGGATACAAAGACCTAGGTTCCAAGGCACAGTAAAAGCAGAACTTTAAGTTTGCAGATAACCAGTCCTTCTCCGACCTACCAAAAAAGAGCAACATCACTCCAGGAGTGACAAGAATGTTTTCATTGTCTGTGCAGGAGACTACACAGGAGGCCAAAGTCCTTGAGGCTCTTTTGGGGCAAAGCAAGGATTTCCATATAAACTGGGAAATAACCACAAGCTCAAAAGAGCAGTCCTTTCCTAGGGAAAAAGGCAATCTAAACCCCATCGATCTCCCATCAGGCAGTTCTTTAAAAATATATCCCTACTCCCCTTTCATGCAGTGAAATCAACCCATATACTCTAGCCATTTATATATATATTACACATGTCATAAAAAGTCCCATGTCACCACTCTCCACCTCCCCACCATACAGAAAGAGGATAACAGAGAATTAGAATGCTTGGGACACACACGTGATAATCTCCATGCAACATTTCACTGGCATCCAAAGAGAAGGCACTTAAAACCATTTATCACTTTTCCTAATGAGGATTTCAAGAGGTGAACTAGTTTCTGCTTTCTGGCAGACTATCAAGTAAGTATAAATTTCCTGAATGCCACATGTTGTCCTTATGTCCCCAGAAGCAACAAATGCCAGATTCATACATTTTGAGAGCCTATGGATTAAGATCCATGTTAAAGTGACCTGCTAGAGTTAATATGCAACAAGAGTGTGTGCTGCCGGTAAGAAGGTACAGCTCACTTTTGGTATTGTATACTTCTTGCAAAAGGACAGGAGCAAAACTGCATCCTCTACTATATATGGAATGTGTTGTATATACTGTAGCTTTTTACTTATACATAGTTAATTAAAAAAAAGACACTAAAGACATCTGGATTTTATTAATTTTTTCAAAATTCCCCTAAACAAGAAATCACAGAACTAAAAAGTCACATGCTAAGTTGAGTGTCTTTTCATAGCATGGCATCCTCTCTATGTGCCCACTAAGGGCTCAATCCTGCAAAACCTTACTCCCTCAAATAGTCCTTATGCTGAGAAGTCAATGGAAATACACGTGCAAGTAGGAATACTCACAAATAAGGTTTTGCAGATCTGGAACATGGAGATTTTCAAGAGCTTCCCAAGAGATTTGGACACCCAAATCCCATTCAACCAAGTTGCCTTTGAAAATCCCAGTCTAAATTATTAACTCTTCATGGCAGAAGTTTTATCTTCATTATTAGTAGCATTTACATCATTACTGTAGCACCCAAAATATCCCATCAGGACCAGTGCCTCCCTGCCCTGAATGTTAGGGAAAGATAGATGATGAGACAGTCATTGCCCTGGAGAACAAATATATTTTTGAGTACCTCACACCCACTGTGCGCTAAATAAATACTCAAGATGCTTTCAGAAAACTACATTTAAACAAGATAGTCTTTTGAAGAGACTTGGAAGGATTACATTTTTTAAATCAGTAAATGTCAGCAAACGTCATCTTCACCATACATACATATACATACACACACACACACACACACACACACACACAGAAAAAGTATTTCCATCACTAATCGTCAAAATTTACAGAACAGCAAAGTCAGAAAAATGCTATTTGAGAACTTATTATGGTTTGATTTAAGGACATTTACTTTGCACGTTTTTGACATCTGATGTTGTATCAGGTTATAAAGCTTAACATTTGGAATCCTATCTGCCGCCATTAAAGCATTATTGTCTGGCCTCCCCCCATAATTTCCCACAACTATGACAACTGAAATTGAAAAAAATGCTTTAAAATAATCATTGCTATTATCCATCGAAATTGTCCAGAAAAATAAAATTCTGCCAAGCCTACTTTTAAAATGCAGCTAAATTGCTTTTATTCCCCCAGGAGTTTGATTCAAAAAGGAA